ATTAGTCTCGATCCGAGTGATTCTACTGGCCAGTGCATTTTGCTATCTATAATGTCTTTTTATTGTGAAAGTTGTATTTTTGGGAAACAAAAACAATGATCGGCATGTGGATGCATTGATAATGAGTGTACCTAAAGTTTGTTCTGGAACCTTTCAGGTGAGCGTCAGTGTGCTATTGTCACGGCTTCGTGGCTTTACTAACCACTCGCCTGAGGCTTAGTTTTATACAGACGTGTAACTTTGTTGGATTTGGTGTCGTTTCCCTTCTTCCACATTTTCATTTCCCATTCGAAGGTCCTCGAGCACCACATCAGTTCACTGTTAGCGTCATGTTAATGAAACACACACAGGTGCTGCTTGCTGTGTAACAACAGCAAAGCTGTGCTGAACACAAGGCTGCAGTGAACAGCAGTGCGTTGAACCCACATTGGTAGATGTACAGCTATAAACGTTGTCTCGCTCACTGGTCACACAGTTCTTGTAGTTTCAATTCAGTTGTGAACGAAATCTTGCAAAGGGAACTAGCAAAGGGACGGGAAGCTACGCTTTCAAAAAAAGATGTGGGAATTGACAAAGCCATTGTTAGAGAAGTATCAGACGCTGTTAAGTTGCCAGTAAATGATGTGACTCTGTATGTGTCCGTCTCTCAGCAGAATAGCACTTTCACACATTAGTAACTGAATAATTCCCAGAATAATCTCAGTTCAATTTTACTGCAAATCGGCATGCAGGTAGTTTACATGGCAACGGCAAGACTTTCATGTGCTATAGCCAGAAATGCACGAATTCACGTGTGTGTGTGTGTGTGTGTGTGTGTGTTCTCTCTTTTCAGGAGACAAACGAACAGAAACTATTTAAAATCGCCAGCGAGCTCTTGCACACAGAGAAGGCTTACGTGGCTCGACTGAACCTGCTGGACCAGGTGAGGAACCCAGCGAGAGGCCACTTCTGTTTTCTTGACCATTTTCCATTGTAAAAGGTTTAACATTGCGCAGAACAGAAACCCTAATTTGTAGCCACTGTATATGTCTCTTCAGGAGTTTTGTGCTAAGCTAATGGAGGAGGCCAATAAGGGAACATTCCCTGTGGACGTAGTAAAGAACATCTTCTCCAATATCTCCTCCATCCACGCCTTTCACAGCCAGTTTCTGCTTCCCGACCTGGAGAAACGGATGGGAGAATGGTGAGATTCAGCTACTCGAACTAGTGCTCATACATGTGCTGATGCAGCTGCTTGTACCGCTGCACTGATGATGCATGAGGTCAAGATCAGCAGTTTTGGAGCTATTTTAATACATGTACACGTACAAGGAATAAAAATGGACGGTTCAGCCAGTGCAAGCTACAAAGAAACTGTCTTTGTACTAAATTAGATCTTTTACTTTTACAACCCCACCCACATCTTTCCTGCAGGGACTCTAAACCTCGCATTGGGGACATCCTGCAGAAACTCACACCCTTCCTCAAAATGTATGCAGAATATGTGAAGAATTTCGACAAAGCCATGGAGTTGCTGAAGCAGTGGACAGACCGTTCACCTCAGTTTAAGGCTATAATTCAGGAGATACAGGTATGCACTGTGTAACAGAGTCCAGTAAAGGAAAAAATGCATTTTCATACCGTGTTGTGGCTTTTATGCTTAAGCGTCTGTTGTGTTACGAAGCATTTGTATGATAAAGGAAAATCAAAGCTTTCTTGTTCTGTCTGGACAGAGTCAAGAGATCTGTGGGTGTCTAACGCTTCAGCATCACATGTTGGAGCCAGTGCAGCGCGTCCCTCGATATGAGATGTTGCTTAAAGACTACCTGAAGAAGCTGCCTCAGGACGACCCCGATCGAAGAGATGCAGAAAGTAAGTAGGAACGGCACCTGAACGCTGCACAGTGAGGAATCGGGTTCATTTCACTGAGGGTGTCTAAAATTATTCTGTTAAGTTTCTGGATTATCTGCCCTTTTTTTCAGGATCATTAGAGATTATTGGAACAGCAGCTACTCACTCCAACAGTGCCATAAGAAAGTCTGTAAGTAAAGATTGGCTTTAGCCAGCTGATACAGATCCTCTCTAACAGTTTCTCATTTACTAAGATGAACATAACATATCTTTTAGGAAAATCTAAAGAAACTGCTGGAAATTTACGAGATGCTGGGTGAAGAGGAGGACATTGTTAATCCTTCCAACGAGTTCATCAAAGAGGGCCAAATCTTGAAGCTGGCGGCCAGGAACACGTCAGCAATGGAGCGATACCTCTTCCTGGTGAGAGAAACACTATATAATGAAGGACACTGCAGGGAAATGTGCTGAGGCGAGACTTTGCCCGCACCAGTCAATTGAAACAAGTGAATCATTTCTTGCTAGGACCACCTCTGTGTAAGGATACATCAGAGGCACATGAAGAAGTCTCTCAATTACTGAGATTGCCAGATGATGTGATTAACTTGTGTCTGTTTCTAATTAGCTGAACATAGAATGTGCCCCGTGTGCGTGATTCGGGTTACCTGCAGAGTTTTAGGTTTTCACCCTCAGGAAGGAAACTGTGCCCAGAAATCTAAACTACAATAGTGCTGATGCATCCAGCTTACATGGTTGCATAACTCAACTGCAAAGTGGTTTTTCCCCCTTTTCTCCTAGTTCAACAATATGCTGTTATACTGCGTCCCGAAATTCAGCCTGGGAGGTCCTAAATATACGGTGAGGACTCGAATCGGCATCGATGGGATGAAGGTCCTGGAAACAATCAATGAGGACTACCCTCATACCTTCCAAGTGTCTGGGAAGGAGAGGACACTTGAACTCCAGGCCAGGTACTCTTTTTCGAGCAGCATTAACACACAATATGCAAAAGTTAAATTCTCCATTCAGCACCAAGTGTTAAGCACTCTGTTAAAAGTGCAAAAACAATGTTATATGTATGAAACGGCTGCTAAATGACTACACCCGGTGTTCATTTTCAGATCCTGTAAATCAGTGGCTCTCAGCCCTTTTGCTGTTGTGTGACAGATTAATTTGAACGCATCCTTGTCTTTTATGTGTTAAACTGAATTCTGTTTCTGTTTTCTCCACCTCATCAGCTCAGAGCAAGACAAGGCTGACTGGATCAAGGTACGTAATTTCCAGGTGATTTTCCTATTTAACTCTTCGTTTTTTCAAACAAATTTAAAGTGACACCCCCTGTCGTGCTTATTCTTTTCCAGGCTTTCCAGGCGATCATCGAGATCTTCCAGCAGAAAAACGAGTCATTCAAGAATGCACTAAAAGACATGGACGAAGTGTCGGTCAGTGTTGGATCAAATTGCACAGAGTTGAATTGCCCACACATGTCTGTGCTGCCACAGTGAGTGGGCTTTTTTTCTTTTAATGGCAGAAAGCTGAGCTGGGAAAGCGCGCGCCGCGCTGGATTCGTGACAACGAAGTGACAATGTGTATGAAGTGTAAGGAGTCTTTCAATGCTATTACACGTCGGAGACACCACTGCAGAGCCTGCGGCTACGTGAGTAATGTTTCTGTTGTGGGTGCCATGCATGTGTATGCACACTACAGGGTAGAGAGGTTAGACCAGGGGTGGGCAATCTCAGTCCACGAGGGCCGGTGTCCTGCAGGTTTTAGATCTCACCTTGGGTCAACACACCTGAATCACATGATTAGTTCGTTACCAGGCCTCTGGAGAACTTCGGGACATGTTGAGGAGCTAATTTAGCCATTTAAATCAGCTGCGTTGGTTCAAGGACACATCTAAAACCTGCAGGGACACCGGCCCTCGTGGACTGAGATTGCCCACCCCTGGGTTAGACCCCATTAGTTGAATTGGGAATACCCAGATACCGCCTATGTGATGTTTTATTCCACCAAATATGTCGAATGATGATTTAATGACGTTTTAAACCACAAAATGTGTGGATCACCCCTCTGAATCTTTGAATTCAGGTGTTTTCAGTCCTGTTGCCATAAGTGTATCGAATCAAACGCTCAGCCACAAAAATCTGTGAACAAATGAGTTGCTCTAAAAACTCACGGAATAGAGTGTTGAGCAATATAGGGAGTAAAAGTTGCTGCCGCTCTGCTGACTCAGTGACTGCAGAGTTCCAAACCTCCTCTCCTCTCCTCCTCTTGCTAAATTGTTATCATCATTGCTAATATTATTGCTGCCTGTCTCTTACAGGTGGTGTGCTGGAAATGCTCAGACTATAAAGCGCCGCTTGAATACGATGGCAACAAAATGAACAAAGTGTGCAAGGACTGCCACTGCATCCTGACTGGAGAGGCGATAGCAGAGGGCAAGAAAAAGGGCATTCTCGAGGTGACTTTTCAGTGAATAAACCTGATGTTGTCTAATACGAACCCTCATTTATATCAGCGAAGATAAGATGAATAACAAAAACAACAAAAACAAGACATTTCAGTGAAACAGCTTCAACAATTTTAAAATTCTAAGCTTGTTGAAGGGTGAATATGTTGTATGGCTGATGGATTAGACTACAATAGTTGTAGCTAACTTACTTAAAACAAGTGACTGTGCACTTGAAAGTTAAAGTGGTAATGGGAGTAAACCGTCATGTGACAGAAATAACATCAGCTGGCGTTCCTGTTTTCTTTTTTTCTTTTGCTGATCTGTGCGCATTTTTGCAGATTGAAGCCGGTCAGTTTGCAGACAGCAGCATCATGTGTGGCTTCCTGCAGCACTCTGAGAAGAGCAAAATTTGGCAGAAGTGTTGGTGCGTCATCCCTGAGAAGGAGAGTCTGGTGCTTTACCTCTATGGAGCTCCACAGGTAAAACAACTACTTCAAGCCAAAAATATGATTGGATATGTTCATTTAGCAGATCATTCACAGTGAAGACGATCTCTCTTTGACTTTCCTCTCAGGATGTAAAAGCACAATGCACCATACCCCTGGTGGGTTATTCTGTGGACGACACCACCCGGCCCACAGACCCACCGGCAAGCTTCCACATCTCCCAGTCCAAGTCCACCCACAACTTTGCTGCTGAGACCGAGGAACTTAAGCAGCGCTGGTTGAAAGTAATTCGAGTGGCGGTGAAGGGAGAGATACCGGAACGTCCCGAGACCAACGGCAGCGGCGTGTCGGATAACAACAACACGGAGGAAGCCAGCACTGATAACACATAAGGGCTTGTTTTCTACAAACTGCTTTTGCACTTGCAAACATGCAAACTGCAGTTGGATTGTTCAAATAAAAAGATGGGATGTGCAGATTTATTCTGCATGCACAAAATACGAACACTTGCTATCCGTTCTGTCGTCGAATCTTTATCTTAAAGACAGCATGGGAAACAAAGTGCTGGATAAGCTGCCTCTCCTCGTGTCTCTCGTGTGTCTTTGTTAACGCCTGGATTTTCTCCTGCAAGATTCACTGCTAGAGCTGTGCTGGATTACTAACAGACACTTCTGATACAATCAACACTAGAACAGAGGGGCCTCAGGATAGATCGCCTTCCCTCAAACAGGCACTATTAATGAAAGCGCAAAATCACTCTCCGTGGACTTGAGCCAGTGGACTACCGCAGACTTAACAAAGTACCCTGTGAGGATGTGAATCACAGCAGGAAAGGTGGTCCAACTAAGTCTGCTGGTGCTGTATTTCTCTGTACATGTACAGTATAAATGTTTGTTTTTTTTCCCTAAATGAACAGTTTTGTTTTTATGTACAGACATTAGTCAGACTTGGTTTCTATTAAATAGAAAAACCTCTAAATGTGCTATAAAGAATTTACAGTATTTCCCCTTTTCTTTGGTTGAGATTGTTCCAAATCTGTAACAGTGATCATGTGGTTGGATAATGATGGTCTCGTCTCTCCTCTTAAAAGCAAAAGAAAGTTTCAACCTTTTAATCTGAAACAAACTTACAGATGAAGCAACATTAACACGTAAAGATGGATTCTGTTAGAAGTAGAGCCCGGTGGATGCGATTTTTAATCCTATGCCAATTTTTTAATGGAGTGTATAATTCCAGTGTTGATATATAAGATGATATTTTTATATATGTCCAGTTACAGCAGTGTTTTTTCACAAAATAGTTACAACCTACTGTGAAGACTCCGTTCGACATGCTCGATGCATTTCTAAACCTCCCCCGAGCAACGTTATCTGCAAATGTAAATTTAGTTCTCATCCTGCGGTTACGTAGCTGTGATGGGCGAAAACACCAGTCAGTCCCAGAGTTGGCTGAATCTGAAATGGCAGCTTTGTACACGTCAGCGTGTTCACAGAGAGAGGAGCAGGGATCATCATTATCCACGTGTCAGGGTTTCTGTTCGGACGCATATGCAGCACAATCGGTATAGCAAGCTGGTGCAACAACTGTAAATGTGTTTGTAATGCTGTAATTAATTTTATTATTTAAAGTAATTTATAGACTACGCGAGCATGATCTGTTAAACCTGGGACAAATGTTTCCGTGTGTCAGCTGAGAAGAGCATTCGGTACATCCCTTATTTTAAGATTATTTTTTTCTTTTTCCACCACCAACCCATGAAATGTGTCACAGAGATCAGTCACAGTCCACGATGGACTGTGGTGAGGAAATGTGCCTATATTTTCCACGGCGTTTCCCCCCTCCCCCCGTGCTCAATGCTGGTGCTCACCTCTCTGAACTATTTCCGCCCGCCCCCAGTCGCCTGTATTCAAATAAAAACTAAGAGCACAAAACTTCTGTCTGCTAGATCTGAATGTAAAAGCTAGATTTTTATGCGTCCTCTCGTCCCTTTCCCAAAGGTTTAAGAATCTACGCACTTTACGGTCTTATAAAGTGTACCTTCAAAGAAAATAAAAGGGAGATTAAATGACTCGTGGCGCTAGAATGCCTGGTGTACAGTGTTTCAGTGTGACACTTGCCCACTTCTGTCAGCTATTGTGATGCTACTTTCACAAAGAGCATCTTGTTGTTTTGGTTCCTGGTTTTGCTTCTCCTGATAAGAAGTTTGAAATGAGTAAACCCAGACATGCATGTAAAAATAGGTGAATCAGTCACTGGTGTTCAGCACAGCAGTGGTCGACGTCTTTGTGATGTGTGTGATAAGCCGTTAGAAAAAAACAAAAAAAGCAGCGTGAAAATGTCACTGTGAGAGTCAGAAGCTTGAAAAACATTTCTATTAATACAGGCTAATCAAATGTCAGCAGACGGTAACCTCGTCTTTACCCGTTAAAAATGAAAGGTGCCCGTAGCCACTGTCGTTCAGGCCATCTATGGAGCGAGGAAGGTGAGAACTGGACATTTAACCGATTTAGAAAAAGAAGTTTATTTTCAAAAATCATCCGAACAAACAAGAATATCAAATACAGTTTAACAAGTAAAAATTTCTTCTGCTTTTTCTTCTCCACATTCTCAATTCCTCAAATGGTGCTACTTGCACTGTGAACGTAAGCATGATCGAAATTGACACTACGAGTTATAGAAGAGGAAGGTCGGGTCAGTAGAAAGGAGTGATGTTGCCAGACATGAAGTCCTTAGCAGTGTCCTGGTTTTGCCTGTTATGAAGGCAGAAGTTCAAACTGACAGAGAAGGTAATCTGATCTTGGCCAGTCTCAGCTTTTGGGCTGTCGCAGCAGGCCGCGGATCCTGCGGACCAGAGCCTGGATAAAAGTATAGCGAGAGCGGACCTGGCTGTACAAGCCCTCCACCTCCAGCAGCTTCCTCTGCAGGGCCTCCCCAAATCCTGCAGCCATGTCGCTTTTCAGCTGCAATCACACAGACAAGAGAAAGAGATTAATTCCAGGCTAAAGGAAAAACCTGATGAAAATCTCCAAATGCTTATGGTTTAGGCCGAGGCTTAATGCATGGCTAGGAAACTGCCCCAGAATGTACAACTGTGTACAAGAGGTACAACACGTCTTAGTTTGCAGACTCATACCAGTTTACAGAAATTTCTTACCAGATCTAGATCTTGTTGGCTGACTCTGGATAGGCTTAGTCCTCGGCCTCCGCTGGCCTGCAGCCCGCTGAATGAGTCTAAAGAATTTGAACATACAGAAATGTTCATGTTTACTCAACCAGGGATGATACAGTGTCTATGCCACATCTGCTCTCAATAACCAAAAAGTGCAATGAACCTATTATTGGGATGTATTCTCTGTAACATGTGCCCCTACCATCTGCGAGGCGTGATCTGTATAAAGTGGATCCAGGCAGCAGCGAGTCTTTGGGGTCAGTGGGTATACAATGCAACAAGTAGTACTCCAGGTGACGCCACAGCACGAATAAGCATGTCTCAATCACATCTAAGCAGGAGTCAGGTCAAGGCTGTCCACAGCTTCTCATGTGGCATTTTTTAAAAATAACTCTTATCAGTGTAAGATAATCAAACACTATATGGCACAGACATGATGGGCAGAGGCAGTTTCAGCGTAGCATTTATCATTCCTGGTTTAATCTTGTTAATCCCATTTCTACAAATGTGTCTGCGAGGGGCAAAGGATACAGGAGCACAAGGCCAGCAGCTTGGCTCTGTTGTTGATGAGCTGGACCAGTCGTCTCTTGGCCAGCAAGCTCCTCTGCACTGATGAGATTTTCTCCACTGCTCCTGGGCCTGAAACCAGGCCTTGGCACAACTACAGAGAAAAGGTGGTTAGAACTGACAGGAAACAACGCTAACAATCAAAACGTATGCAGGATGTACGAGTTTATTTGGTAAACTGACGGTGGTGAAGTTATATCTCTATATACACTGTTGCATCTATCTATTACCTCCTTGAGCTCCTCAGGTGGGAGCTGATCCAGGCTCTGAAGCTTTCCCAGGCTCTGCCTGTGACTTTGGTGGAACCGGAAGAAATCAGCAGCACTATTCTTGAGCAGGTACAAGACCAAACCAAGACTAGGGACCCGAGAGTAAGCCATCGATGGCACGGTGGATGAAAGGTCTTGAAAAGAGGAGGAAGAGTCTATCGTTAAACTGAAAGTGTTTCCGTAAACCGGGAACTTCAGGAACACCACAAGCTCCGAAAACATTCCATAACCATAGGCTAAGCCACATTAACGATTAGCATGAGCCAGATCCTTATTCTTCATAAGTTAGGGTAGAATATCACTGACCAGTGCGTGCTCCGTCCCTGCCAGCTGGCTCGCTGCCTGACGGGCTGAAGAGGCAGATGCTGAACTGAGCCTGGGCTGAGCTCTGCAGCAGGAGGGCCTGGCAGTACTCCATGATGTTAGCACACACCTTGGGACAAAGGACAGCAGGTTCAAGTCACTGACGATGCAGAACTGATAACCCTGACTACAGAGAGAAAACTCCAGACATTTCAGTGCCTCTCTTGTGGATTTTGCCCCAAAGTGTCCACTCCACACTTGGAATACGTAAAATATAAATATGCTAACGGGGAAGCTGGCACTGAGAATACACTTTGCATCTCCAGTTTTACCATTTACAGAATAACCGTCAAACCTGTTGCATGGCCACCTCCATCTCTTCTCGCCGTTCTGCTGACTCTCCAGGTGCAGAGATCTCAGCCTGTTTTAGCAACCTGTCCCGCTCACTTCCTGCCAGACGGCCGAGCAGAGACAGACATAGACGCTAAAAAAAAAAAGAGAGAGAGACATTGCCACTTATGCAAATCTCACACTGAAAAGTAGACGCAGAGGTTAAAGACGGTTGGACAAGATAAAAGTGAAAGTTAGAACAGGTTGGTATGTAATAAAAACTAAGGGCATCATCTGACCTGGAATCTGTTAATGTGACCTTGGAACTCCATGAGCGCAGCGCTGTTGACTTCTCCACCCATCTCAAGGGCACCTGAGACATCAAGTAGTTACTGAGTCACTGATTATAAACACGCGGTTCGCATAAGGCTGATATAACATTAAAAGAGCTTTGTGCTTTCAGTTCAGGGTGACTGCTCATCTTTGTACCTGGCAGAGCTGTTTTACTGATGATGCCAGTAAGCAGAGAAAGTTCCTGCAAAGCTCCCATACTGAGCTCCTGGCAGCGCAGCAGGGACTGAATGGTGTCTGCATGGACTATCAGCCACTGGAGAACCTGCACACAGATATTTGTTGTTTATTATTACTCGCTTTCAAATCAAAAATCAAACTCAACGATTCATTGAGTGACTCAATTATTTAAAAAGAAGAAAAACCCTTTGATCACTTTCTGCTTTGATGCTTTGTTTATTCCACGACTCAGTGGGGCTCATTCGTCCCCATATAAGCGTGAGTGTTTCACCCACATTTGCAACTAGAAATAGACCTGCAACTGAAACTTCTCTAAAGGCACACACGTGCCTCAAACATACCACATCATTAAGCCCATGCAGCCCCCAGGCTTTCAACAAAAACACTGATAACACATCAGCAGGGGTGAAGATGACACGTCATGGTTTAACATGAATCAAGAGTCTGTCTAAGCGGCAAAGAGCAAAGAGGGGGCGACGTTAAGGAGACCATGAGCTCAGGTTTAGGGCCGCCTGCTCCTGTAATCACTGTTAAAACCTTTACTTGGGAAAAAACTGGCAGGAGTCCTTAAGCAAACCATCGTGTGTCACACCAAAGGAAAGCTTCGAAGCTGCTCCCATCCAGCATCTACAGTAAAGCTACAGAAGTTAAATAAAAGCATGCGTATGAAGATGAACTGTTAGCTTAGTCTGATGCAATGTTTGACTTTGGCAGTTTGCTGAAGGCTGCAGCAGGGGTGAATCTAAAGGGGGGTGTGGGGTGTACTAGACCATATTTCATTTCAAGGCTTTAATCCCATTATTTTACAGATTTATGTAAAATATACAAAACAGGAAAAATGTGATATTAAGTTAATGACATTAATATTTAAGCAGATAAAAATGGAAGCTCACCCCCCCCCTCTCCACAGCGAAGTAAAATACACATAGGCTAGTAAAAACTGAGCCACTAGCCCGGGACTTTCTAGGCTGGACACTGAATCATTGTTAACATCTAAACCATCACAAAGTTGTTGTTTTTTTCCTGCAGCAGGAAACGTTGCATCAAAATAGGACAAACCACAGAGAATATCCACACGCTCGAATTTCATCATTGTAGTCATGAGATATTTCTTTAAAACCTCACACTCCCACGTGCACATGTGTCATTAACACGATTAAGCAAACAGACACACACAAAAACGCATACACATGATCGAATACAAAATCAACCTAACCGAGAAAATGTCATTTTCTCTCTTTTTGCCTTCCAAGAAAACCGCGTGAAAGCCATTTTATTTTAGGCTTTAGTTTAAGCTGCATGTATGCCTTATTTGGATTCAGCTGTTCTAGAGATTATACATCTAAGCTTCAACGTGTCCAGAACTCTGCTGCCCGTATTATCACCACATCACCCCCTCCGTCCTGCAGCAGCGTCATTGGCTCCCAGTCAAATATCGCACCAATTTTAAAATACTTTTGTAAACATTTAAGGCTATTCATCAACTCTCCCCTCCATATCTCTCTGATATGGTTCAGATCACCACTCTGCCCCCCCGCCACCATGGGCAGCAGTGCTTTCAGCTGCTCTGGAATTCCCTACCTCCTGATATAACAAATACCACTTCCTTTTCTCTTTTCAAGGCTAGACTCAAAACTCACCTGTTCAGAAAAGCTAATCCCACATAACTTTTTCCATTCTGCTATTTTAAATCTGTTTTACCTTTTATGTTTTATGATTTTGTAAATTGCCTGCTTTTAATGTTTCTGCTGTGTACAGTGTCCTTGGGTGTTCTGAAAGGCGCTTTCAAATAACATGTATTATTATTTTTTTGTGCATTTTTGAAAAAAAAGAAGAAAATAAAAATTACAACTATTGCAATTTCTAAAATAGAAA